CTCGCAGGAAGGAAACAGTATTTCTAGGAACATTCATGCTTTTGAGGGTTTCTTGTTTTGTTTAAGACTGGTTCTAATAGTTGTTGTAACCTTTTTGTAAAATGATCAGATTGTAATTGTTAATTATGGAGGGGAACAGTGTAATTGTCTTTCTGTGGGTGGAGTTAGATGTAAAGACTTTTCTCTTTGCGAGTATGTGTGGCAATGCAGGTAAGATTTTCTGCTGAAGGTGGCTCTGGAATCAAAGATCAGGAAATGAACATTTTTACAGTAAGTTGTCTACTGTCTTCAAGTATTGCTGTTCAGTATTTTGATTCTGGACGCTATTTCTTAAGAACCCTTTATTTCTGCTTCAAGTGCTCCATCAATGGCAAACCAGATGTTAGGGTTTTAAGCGTTTTTTTTTGGGATGGGGAAGTGTCAACCCATGAGCAAGGAGCAGTGTGGTTTTTCACAGGGTACAATACAGGAAGGATATGAAGCTGCAACCAGTCAGTTTATCAGACAGTTTCCTTTCTTTATTCAGTCTTTTGTTTACTTCAGCCCTGGGCAGATGAACTGGGCTGAGAAGTAGTTGAGGAATCATGATTTGGCATTAAGGAGAAATACTTTCTTTTTGCATTCCCTCCACATGCACCTTAAACACTTGTATGAGACTAGATTTTAATCCCTGTGACATGTCCCGTTCTGCTCACTGCCTTGGATTTCTGGTAGGGGACTAAGGGAGCAAAATCTTGTCCCTAACATTTAAAGCAGACTAATTTGTCTGCAGTGCTATGCGCAGTGCTTGTAATTAAAAAGTTCAAGGCAAATGCCAAGTGGCTGCAGATTGTGTTGTTTGGGGTTTTTTTTTCTAAGTCACTTAAAGTCTGGGTGAAACATCTGTTTCCTCCTGCCCACAGCTCATTTTGGAGATGAATATGATTCTGGTGAAATCTCACTCTCACGTGTGCTGCTGTTCAGTGAAGATGTTTCAAACACCTACACAAAAACTGATCACAGCTTCTGCCATTCACTGCCTCTAATAAAAAAAAGGGGGGGGGGGAAGTAATTTCAGATTTTGTGAGCTAAAATGGTCGTTGCCAGTCTGAGTTACACCTGCCACAGGAATCTGTGGCAGAAAATACTTGAAAACATGGAATTATTTGGCATTGCCCATGCTATGTGTGCTGAGAGATCTCTGCCTCTGCCAACGTGGCTGTTCTTGTGCCATCCGTTCCTGTCCTCAACATGAAGAGCAAGGGTAGTGTAGAGCTCAGAGAGGAGATACATATACAGAGATATATTGGTTTGAGTCCCATTCTTCTGCTCAAATTCTCGTTTTGGTTTTGGGGAGTCAAGAATTCAGGCTTGAGGCACGTTGTCTTTTCTGTGCAGAGATAAATTTCTGGTATCTCTGCAGTCTGTTAGAAATTCAGATGCTGGTGAGTAACAGTGGTGGGGGCATACTATCCGAAATTTCAAACCAACCCGCTTTTTTAAGTTTTGTCACTCCCTATGCCTGGGTGCAGCACCCTCCACTGTGCAGAGCTGTTTACACAGTGCTTACAGTGATGACAGAGCCTGTTTCTGTGTTTAGGTAATTTTTGGGCCCAGGCTCCTTGAGAACAAGTCAAAAGCCCCTCTGTGAGCTGGGTTGACTTCTGGCTGGGCTAACAGGCAAGCTGAGGTTGAAGATGTTTTTGCAAACAGAGGCTTTTTGAGAATTAATGTCCTTTTCCTTGGCTATCAGACTAACCACCATGTATTCGTTAAAGATTCTCTTGGCAAATAGACTAATGCTGCTTGATGCAGCTGACTGCTGTGAAATACAGAGGTGGTTTTGTCAGTTCCTGGAAAAAAAATGACATTTCAGTTTTTCTCCCCTTCATTTCAGGCTCTCTCAGTTGGTGTGAAACTGTGTAGGTCTGGTGAGATCAACAGAACGGTTGTTAGGAGGAGTTGCCATCCCTAGCTTTCTGGTACTGTCTGTGCAGCTGAGATGCCTTAGCCGTGACCACCTTCAGTGTTGACTTAAAGTAATCTGCTTTTTTTGGCACCGACTTGGATTGGGACTGCTTTCACAAGCCTGCCCGTGAGATAGTAGTACAGTAAATGCTGTATATTTAAATGTCAGTCACTGTAAGGCAATCCCACTGAAGCCACCAGCACAATTCAGTAAGTCAGATCTCGCCATGGAGGACGAGCAATCGGTGCGTGTTGTCAGGATGCCTCCAGTCGTGATGGTGAAATCCCCGTGAAGAAGGTGGAAATCCCCATGGCCTGAACTTCTTGTTATGAGGATGGTGGTTCAAAGGACATAGTAGCTCAGTGAATTTACTGTCCTGAGTTGTTTTCAAAGATGCACCTTTGATGGGTGAGATTACAAGCCAGGAAACCAGTTTGGAAAGGAGCACCCTAAGAAGAGACCCAGTATGTTTTAGTGAAGATAGCTATATATACACACATATATTTTAAGGTCAACATTTGAAGAGCTCTTTATCCAAAAGTCAGATCTGTTGCTGCTTATAGAAATGAAATTGTGTGTTTATCTAAGCCATAGGGATGTAATTTCAGTTTATACCGTGTTAGCACAACTAATCCTTTCAGTGATGTTCAGCTTCTGCCAATTCAGTCAATGGACTAATTGTGTGAAGTGAAGCATACAGGCACAGCAGTGTTTTATGTACTGCATCTTACCACTTCCTGACCCTGTCTCACTGCACACTACCTTCTTGCAGTCTTCTAGCCAGATCTGTTGTAGCCTTAGAAATGCCCAGATTAATTTTCCCTGCTTTGACAAGCTCCTTTACATTGCAGGAAGCCAGCTTTTCTAGTGCATCCATAGGAAGCGTCTCCACTACAGCCTTTCACCACGCAGGAGACAGACTGAAGATGTAGGCAGCTGGCAAATGTGAAAGCAATGAAGGGCTGTTCTGGGCTTGACAGCGCTTTTTATAGCACGCGCATTCGCTGGGAAGGGCGTAAGAAAGGAGATAAACAGATGATTGTGGCAAGCTGAGAAATAGCTGTAGCAGACCAAGATGTTCCAAAGAGAAGATCACGGCAAAAAGGTAAGGGCGCCGACTTCACCCGGTCCTTTTTCCTGCTGCTTGAATATCTTCTTCAACATCAACAATCCTTCCTGTGGAAACACTGACATTTTCTGAAGAATCCTATAAATACCATACTAGCCATTCAGCATTACTTTGAGAAAAATACAGTATTTTTATAGCTTACCCTCAATTCCCGCCCTAAAAGTGTTTGGGCTTTTTCTCTAGAAGCTCTGCAGACTGATAAAATATTGATAATTGTCCAAAGATCAGAAATACCCCTGCATAACTGCTGTATGTAGAGTAATTGTCAGTCAAGACACGGGGGAAAGTCATGTAGCAGTTGATTAAAAGTCCTGCAGAAGACTTTGACTCAAGACTAGAAATAACTGAAAATAACTCTGAAACTCTTATTCTTAGATAAACTGTTTTTACTTAAGGGTCTGCTGGCAATGGTGTGTGACTCAAAGGCCTATGAATCTCTGTTGTCAAAAGCAGTGTCATAATGTCATGTATTCATCCAAGTGGGGAGCGTCAAGGGGTTAATTTGATTGTGTTTGAGTCTAACAAGGCATCACAGTGTAATCTAGGATGTTACTCAGCCTTGGCCATAGTCTACTGTCAGCTGAATAAATGATGAAGTTCCTTGCATCAGCGTGGATTTGGGCCAAAACTGCGGGCTTTTGAAAATCCCACTGGTAGTGTTTTCAGTGTAATTGTTTTAATGTAGCTTACAGCTAGATCAATGTTCACGTTCAGTCATCTAATTCTTCTTTCCTGTTTCTAAGTATACTTGAGGAAATCATACTAAAAATGATAATATTCACAGTTTTAACTTGTCTTATTTTAAAAAAATACCTGAGCCAGCTTTCCCTAAACCTCCTCTGTGGTCTTCACTCCCGGGCAGAGAGCATGTGTGGAAAACACAGTCGTCGTGTACATTCTTGCAAGATTTTTTATAACATTATGAAAAACAGAAGAGGCCCTGAAAATAATAGAGTGCAATGATGACAGCCTCCTAGATGGAAACAAAGGTTCCCCTGATTTTGAATAAGACTTGGTCTGAATGCTTCCGAAAAAAATCCTTTCCCTAGTTCTTTGGGTTTTTACGGGAGCAGCTGGTAGGATATGTCAAACAACGTTAGTTGGAGCAATTGGCCTTGATAAGAGTTTCTAGTTTCTTGGTTATCAAATTTCTACTCCAGATCAGGCTTCATATGTTCAAACGGGACCATGTTTGCCACCTGGTGTTTTGGAAAAACATGCCTAGAAGCTGAAATGTATGCAGTAGCTGTGGGACCGACTGCCTTCAAAATCTGAGTGCTCCAAGAGTTGAGAACACTTGGAGAGCCATCATTGCTCGGATAAACTGAGCACCTTAGCATCTCACCAGAAAGTAACAGACGATGGCTTCCTAAGATTTTTAAAGCATGTCAGACTTTGAGGCCTGGACTAGTTTTTCATTGGGAATGGGCCAAGTTATGTTATTAAAATTAAACACATGCATACAGGGTCTCTCACATTAGGGTCTCAGCACCTTTTGGGTCTTAGCACAAGCACTTCACAGCTCTGAGATCTGCCAGAGCAGTTGGGAAACGAGGTAAATCGCCAGAACACTCTTAGTGGTCTGGACTGAATGACCAAATTCTAATGTGACTGTCCTTGTCATTTGTCTTTCAGGTCCTCAGGCTCCATCAGCCACCAGCTGATCGCATTGCAGCGGTGTAGGTGTTGCCATGAGGATCAGGAGGTGTCCTGTCTGCTTCGCAGCTTGTCTTTTGGTCCTGCTGGGTAAACACCAGTAAGAGCCCAGTACAGAGACAGAGCACGCATTTTAAGACAGCTGACAAGCCAGTTCCTGCACATACATGCATCTGTGTAAGAGTACTCCAAGTCGGGGGACCTCTGTGGTGCTGCATGGATGTAAGAACTGTTGCATGTGTGGGGTTAGACTCTGCTTTTTGAGAGATGATGCTCCGACGAGGATTTATCCTCCTTCTCCCCCGACTTGTAGGCCTGTTGGTGGTGGCCTGTTGCTTGGTGTCTATTGTTTATATGTTGGCTTGCACACCCAAGGGTGACAACCAGCCACTTGCCTTGCCCAGGGTGCACAGTCCGACTGCAAAGGAGGGATATGAAGCCATTCTGCAAGAGCGAGAAGAGCAAAACCACAACTACATCATCAGCTTGAAGAAACAGATTGCACAGCTGAAGGCTGAGCTCCAGGGCAGGAACGAGCAGCTTAAGAACGTGCAGGACCAGTACCCAAACCCCTCGGACATTCGGCTTGGCCACAGTAAGCCGGAGAAGGCCCAGGCTAACCTGCTGGCTTTCCTCCGTTCCCAAATAGACAAAGCAGAGGTGCACAGCGGCGTCAAGCTGTTGACGGAGTATGCGGCTGTGCCCTTTGAGAGCTTTACCCTGCAGAAGGTGTACCAGCTGGAGACAGGGCTGACGCGCCACCCAGAAGAGAAACCTGTGAGGAAGGATAAGCGAGATGAGTTGATCGAGGTGATCGAGTTAGCTCTTGGGAGTTTGAACAATCCAGAGGGGGACAGCAATGCAAAACACCGTGTGTACACAACCTCCGACTTCATTGAAGGTTTGTATGCGGTTGGAAGATCCGCATGGGGCTGGTGAGGAGCTCTGGTGTGACAGGGGGAGATGGGTGTTACCTCAGAGCGCAGATGGCTGGGACAGTGTTAGTGCTGTGACCCAGCGTTGCTGTCACAGGCACAACTGCAGAATCGCAGCTTTCCTGGGGAGCAGGGCTTTGTGATAACCAAGCCTGCCAGTCTCTCCTAGTGACCCAAATGTGTGCTCTCAGCTCTCTCTGGTCACACACTCACCTCAGAACTGACAGAGCAAGGAGTGAATGACCAGGCTGCAACCCCAGCTCTGTTACCAGTGTTAAGACTGACAACTGCAGTCCAAATCCAAACTCCAGAGTTACCCTTACTTCCACCTGCACAGCTCTGCCAGTGTCAGAGTGGCAAGACAGGCTTTGAGGACAGCAGCTGAGTCCAGTTACTGATACCAGTAACTCAGCTGGTCTCACCTGTAACTTCAAATGACTAGGAAAGCTTCACCTTTACAGGGTATCTTCTATACTGGGAGTGCGGCACCATAGCCCTTGGGTTCCAAAATGAGCTAAACAGTCTTTACCCTCACATGTACTATTTAGTCAGTAAGTGTGGATTTTTATAGTGCCACTTTTGACAGCAATCAGTTTTTACTTCACATCCTCTGTCACTAAGCCTGAAGTGCTTACTTCTTTCCAGCCAGAGGCACCAGATGTATTCCAGGAGTTGGGATGTTTCTGTGGGTGACACCTGTTCAGGTTAGCCCCTGCTGCATGGCAGCTCCGAGTTAAAAAGGGCAGAAACATGATATGAGACAAGATTTCACAGATCCTGTTTCCAAGGGGTCATGGCTGTTTCTCATTCGATACCAGTGCTGCGTTTTCACTTGTAATACGGCTGTTCTAGTTTCACTTCATAGGAACTGGGGATGTTCCCTGCTTTTTGTTCAATAGTGTTGTCTGTAAGGGAGATTTAATTCACAGCTGACCTAGCTGAATTGAGTATCAGAGGAAAAACTTGTCTTCCTCATCTTCAGATGTTTGTGCTGCAGACTTAGAGGACACGTGGGTGAATTGTTTCCTTCATCTAACATTTATGAATCGAGCAGAGCTAAATGCATAAATGCATCCTCCGTGTGATGAGGACAAACTACTGCTGTTGTGCAGTTCATTTCTGCTCTCTGTGTACGTTTCTCCGGCAGTCATGCTATCCAGGGACAGTAGGTTCTTGAAGCTGTGCTGGGATATACCTGCCAGTCGGGCTGGTGCCTCCCACCGCAGGGACATGAGACCTTGCTGAGGCAGGTCCTGGCTTCCCCCTGGTCCAGGCACTATCTCCACACCAGTCAAATTCCTCTTGCTAAGACACAGGACCAGGGCATGGGCAGGGAACTGGGAAGTGCTGCTGGCTGCCAGCGTTCGAATGTATCACGGAGCCACGTGCTTACAGTCTCCTCCTTTCTGTTTGTTGTTCAGTTTATAATTTCAAAGTATGTTTCTATTGTTTATTATAGGAGCTTAACAAGCATGTAGGACTGTTTGGCACCAGCTCTTCCATGGGGAGAGGGTGAGGGGAAAGGTGGAGATGTTTCCTGCCATACAATGCTTAATATTCCATTAAATTCCCTTTTGCTTAGAGCCTGCTTTTAGCACAATTAAGGGTCTTTGCCTGGGTACCAGTGCCTTGGGGAGCAAGGCAGAATCTGGTGTGCAGAAAGGCATGGGGAAGGGATGCTGCAGTGCTGGCTCTGTGGAGTTCCATCATGCACTAATGGCCTTGCTGGCTTTCACATACCGTGGTGAAATAATCTAGAGCGAGGAAGCCCTGTATGCGACTCACAGCTCCACAAACCAGAGCCCTGCGTGCAGCTCAGTCTGAGCTCAAGAAACCTTCCTTGTGTCCTCCCTTGCTGCTGGAGGTGCAAGGTAACAAATTCTCATTCTTACTCGGCAGTGCAAACTGATTTGCTTGAAAATGCAGGGATACGTGCATCAGGGCTGGAAACAGAGAGCTGACTTGGCAGAAGGTTTCCCTGCAGAGTTCCTCTGCAAGTCTCTTATCCCTTGGCCACCTCTTTTCCCCCATCCTCCATTCTCCAAGAATGGCAAAAACTGCTGATCAAAGCACAAACGAATCCACGGCTCTGTATAACTTGACCAGGAGAAGGGAGGACTGAGTTTTCTGATCCAGTTCTGCATTTCAAGTATGGTTTGGACTCAGAACTTGTTTTGGAGACAGCACTCTGCAGGTGCCACTGCCTAGACAACAGGACTCCAGCCTAGGATTCCATGCCAGCTTCTGCCAGCTTCCTGACCATCCAACCACACAGCAACAGTGAGCGGTGTTACCCAGCCAGCAAAGCCAGCCTGTTTCATCCAGAACTGCCCAGGGTAGCTAGAGCTTTCTGGGAGATGTGGCACAGGTCTGCACTGAAAGTAATACCACTTAACCCTGTCAGCTTTTTATCTTCCAGCTGCTTTAGCAGTAACAGTGCACAAAAGCTGTATGCATCTCTTATGTTAAAGGTGGGGCTGCTGCCCTCATCTTAAGGTTGAGCAGGTGGAGGGATATGCTGAGATGAAAATGAGGTAATCATAGAATCACAGAGTGGTTTGGGTTGGAAGGGACCTTAAAGACCATCCAGTCCCACCCCCTGCCATGGGCAGGGACACCTTCCACTAGACCAGGTTGCTCCAAGCCTCATCCAGCCTGGCCTTGGACACTTCCAGGGATGGGGCATCCACAGCTTCTCTGGGCAACCTGTCCCAGTGCCTCCCCACCCTCTCTGGGAAGAACTTCTTCCTGATGTCCAATCTCAATCTCCCTCTTTCATTTTAAACCCATTACCCTTTGCCTTGTCACTACAGGCCCCTGTAAAAAGTCCCCTCCCAGCTTCCTTGTAGCCCGCCCAGGCACTGGAAGGGGCTGTAAGGTCTCCCCAGAGCCTTCTCCAGGCTGAACACCCCAACTCTCCCAGCCTGTTCCCATGGCAGAGGGGCTGCAGCCCTCTGAGCATCTCCGTGGCCTCCTCTGGACTTGCTCCAACAGCTCTGTGTCCTTCTAATGTTGAGGCCCCCAGAGCTGGACACAGAACTGCAGGGAGGGTCTCCCCAGAGCAGAGTAGAGGGGCAGAATCCCCTCCCTCAACCTGAACTGCTACTCGGTATGAGGCTCGTGTCTTTGTTCCTGCCCTATTCAGCGAAGCCTTTGACACCGGCTTTACTCAAGTGTGTTGCTGATCCCGAGTCTTACTAGCACACAGAGTGGTACTGCAGAGTGGTTAATCTTGTTTGTTTGGCCCACTTATGTCGATTTTTCCGTTCCTGTGGGTCACAGCTGTTACCTGACATCACTTTTTCACTACTAGTTCATTGCTGACATATGCCAATAGGCTTGCTGGTGGTGTAGTGCAATAAATTTGATCAGGGTCTGTATCTCTTCCTCTGTTCCACTTCTTGCCTTTATTCTTGTCTTTGTAGTTGGAAAATGTTTCTTCAAACACTTCTTACATTTAAGGAGAAATGTTTTGTCTCTGTGCCTGGGATCTCTTAAAATAAGTGTTGCATCCTCTGTGGTTTCTAGACAGAACCACGTGTGTGTGGGAATGAGACAGTGACCCTCGTACCTTGCGTCAGAGCTGAACTCCTTCTCAGCAGATTTGCTGTTACATTAAATTTGGATAGGATTCTCAGACAGCTCTCTTTCCAGGAGTAATAGCTGACACGTGGTGGAATTTTCCATTTTTTCTTATTCAAAACCGAGAGAACCACACCTTCTCCCTGGGGCCTGAAATATATCCATCTGGCTGCTGCTCTGCTTCTCTCTTCACAGAGGCACTTGGGCTGTTCAGCTGCTATAATCCTCCCCTCTCCCCCTTATTCCTCCCATTTCTATACCACGTTCACTGCCACGAGGAGTTAGTAAGAAGCAACACGGAAAAGACCAGGAATTTCTGTGTATTATAAGCAGGCAGAGGGCTGCTCTGTTTCCAATCGAAAGCTGGTTGCTCGGTGGGCAGAGTGACAGGTCTGGACATTGATTTATGTAAATGGCAGCAGAGCTGAAAAGATTTGGAAGTCATTCATTTTCTCAAAGATGGAGATAATAATTTGGAGACTCTGACAAGCCTAAGCAGAGTGTTCCATAAGTGAATGCAATCACTTTTCCCAACAGGAACAGTTCCAGAAAGCGCCTGGATTGCTTCAGAAATGTCCTGCCATGGCACTGTCAAATACGCTGTATCGTTAGTTTTCCTGCCTGAAGTACGTGGCTGTCTAGTGCCTGGAATCTTAAGTGAGGTCTCAGAGACAAATGAGGAGGAGAAGCTTTGCTTTCTCCAATTGACAGCGACTGGCGGTCGGCTACCTGCGACAGTCTTGCCCTAGAAAGTTGTTGGGAGAAAGGATGGTGCTCTTCCTCAGAGGGTAACATGCTGTATTTTACTGCACGTGAAGTGGGAAGGCCACTGTAATGGAGTTAAAACGGGGACAATGAATGCTGATAAATCCTAAGAGCAGTTCCTACGACATCTAACAATATAAGTAGTGAGCATGGGTCCGAGGAGCGTTTCTGTTGACAGTGGAAGACCTGAAACCTATGGTCTGTGGAACTGAGGCTAAAATTGTCACCCACTTAGCAGCATTTTGTGAAGGTTATGTGACCGTTTGCTAGTTACCAGTTGCATGGTTTGCCTGTGCTGCTGAATAGGGATCAGGTATTTTCCATTTCTTTAGAGACACCTGGGAATTGCTGCTCTGAAGACTGGATACTTACTGCTCTTTACCTAACCCTTCAGCCCAGGTCTTTATTTTTGCCTCTCACTTGTCCTTTTCCTTCATTTTAGGTCCAGTCTCTGTGCTGACCCAAAGTTCCTGTTCGCTTTTTTACATTGGGTTTCCAAAGGCTTTGGCTTTTCTCCCGGCCTCTGAAAGGAACGGTGCATATTCTGAAACATAGCTGCCCTAATGGAAGCAATAGATGATCAATGAACCTTCTTCCACAGTGAATGTCTAGCCTTCCCAAAGCTTTCCTTTCAGGAGCAACCTTCTCAGGAAAAGGGGTTTTGTGTTACTTTTTAGAGAGTACTTCCCCCCC